AACCTTGGTTAAATCAGCATGATCTCGTCTGAAAACTAAGACCAGGCTTGTGCAACTAGCTCACATAGAAATTGTGCAACAGTGTTTGTATGTGTGTTTGGGGATAGGGGCATAATTTTGACATTCTTCAATATAAGTTAAAGATTTAGTTCCTGTCTTCAACTGTATACTTCCTTTTTTTTTTTTTCTTTTTTTCTGCTATGCACAATGGTTGTGAGAAAAACCAGAATACTAGCAAAAAGAAACAGCTAAATGCAATCAAAAATAGAAAAGGAGAATCTAATTGGAAGAAAATGAAGGACACGACATTTTGAACCTCAGCTCAAGTCAAGGGAGAGTTGGGAAAGAAAGATATTACAGTTCTCCAATCAAGCATGAAATTAGCAAATGATAAAGAAACAGGAAAAGAAAGGAAGCCAGAATAAGAAATTTTCAATTAAACATTGGCTCATATTTGCAAAGAACCAAACTTCAGAATATCACATCAAATCTAAACACAATAGATGGAAAAACCAAATATCTGCAATTCATTTCATACCAATTAATAAAACCATCAAGTAGGAAAACAATAAAAGGCATAAATCTCAGTCCAAAATATATCACTAGTTTTAGTATTTCATATACCTGCTTACAAAACAATTTAAAATTTTACTAGTTTCATATTATCTACAATAAGAGTTGAAATGATAACTATAGCTAGATCAAGCTCAATAGACAGAATCAAAAGAACAATGCCTTGAATGCAATTATTTTGACATAAAATCACAATAAGGCCTGTGAAAATAAAGAATCTTAGGATCCACTTTTGACCTATATAAGATTAACAGATATTTTCTTTTCATGACCATAAGATCTAGCAATGACCTTAAAGGGATGACACAATTCGGATCCAGAACCTCTGATTATGATGATTTAAGGTCATAATCAAAGGCCAAAGTTTGACATAGGATTTACTTAATCAATGGCTGTCAAGTTGTTGCTTATAGTACTAGCCTTACCTGCTGGCCGCTACTAAGCTAATCAAATTCCTAATTGATGTTTGAACCCATCAATTATCACCATAGCCAGTGGCGGAGAGAACTAGGAGAGACTCAAAAGTAAGGTTTTTTCTTTTTTTTTTTTTTACCCTAGAAACGTCGCATGTGTTTAAATAGGGTACCACTTAAAAAAGTGCCCTTCAAACAGTTGTAATTAACAGCTTCACCACAAAATATCTACAAATATCAAATCAGCTTAAGCTGTAGACTCTATGCCCTTAGGAAAAAAAAAAAATCTAGGCCCACAAATGTCCAAGCATACATCTTCCAAAGCTCATTCTAGCTTGGTTCTTGTAAACTTTGAGCTGCCATCATTTTAGTCCTATCCCAATTTGCAAGTCTCTATTTCTTTGTTATCTCTCAGTGTATTGTCTATATTGTTATTCATATTGATTGATCCTGACACATTTTACAAAACAACAACACTTTAGTGCTTCAAGAAACATATATTGACAAACAACAATGAGAAAGTCTACATATGTTCCAATCTGGTATTGTTATCAATGTTATCAATGGATTATGGCTATTCTTCTGCTTGAGAGGGAAAGAGAAGGGGGGCAACTGCAGCACACCCATCAACAACTTCATTAATAAAAAATGAATGCAATCTCATTTCTCTTTCATTTAAGCATTAACTTTTTACAACAATTATTCAAATTTTGAGATAAACCAATCTTCAACCAAGACCTGGGACACTTCAATGGAAAATGTAATACTTATTACTTCTATATCTTAAGGAGTCTGTCTAACCATATACAGATGCCTTTTAGTTTCCTTTCACATACTTTAGCCTGTCTATTGCTTACAATAATTACCGAACATGAAAGTCAACCATCTCCTGCATATTATGCCATGGTGTTATTTACTAAATAAGTAGCCACAAAATTAACTGCAAATGAATTGATTTCCTATATATATATTAATCTTTCCTAATTTCTGCTTCATTATTAAATATCTTAACATTTGAGGCTTCCTCTCTTTAGCATTCTCATTGCTATAGCATCTTATGCTTGTTAATTAACTCTAGATTGTTCTTTGCAGCCTTGTTAATTAACTCTATATCTTGTTAGTCCTATAAATAGATTCAAAACCTATATCTCTACAACCAAAGAAAGAAAAAACCTCTATCTCTGCCTCCAATTTCAACAGTTTTTCTTAATTGATATGGTATATGGTATCTTTAGCCAAATGGGCAAAATTACATTATCCATAACCTTGAGAAAACAAAACTGTTCTCATTCTTGTTCTTCTCGTCTACATCCTTTCCAAAGAGAAATTCAAATTAAAAAAAAAAAAAAAAAAGAGGAGAGAGGAAAGAATACGTTAGAAGAAAAGCAAACAGAAAATCACTAGATGGTAACCAGGCCCAGCTTAACATGAAGATAAACAATTGTGCAAAAAAAAAAAACAAATGCACCTATCAAATGTAAAGCCCAAACCTTCCTCTAATAGAATGCATAACAATATATGCACATCCAGAGGCAGCAAGCAAAAAGCAAACTGAAAAAAATTAATCTTTTTGAATATAACCACACACATCACACATACATAACACAACACAACACAAACATGAAAACTTACATGATAAATTCACATTACAAGTGAATCAAGATGGATATAGAAAAGAAAAGAGAGACACCCTTCTGGTAGATTTTGAAGATTCAACAGAAAAAATGGAAAATGTTCCCATGGATATAGATGCATACCATGTTTCTTTCCTTAGCATTAACCATATTATTCAATCTAAAACAGGAAGGTAAATCTAAGCTAACTTGTGAACTAGCCCATAAGAAATAATGCAACATCTGTTTCCCATTTGCATCAAAAAGCTCCCAAAACTCACTGATCAGTTAAAAAAACCTCCTGACCTTTTCCATTAAAAACATCATAAATCACATCCCTTACGCAGTGGAAACAAAAATGCAACTATAATTTTTATGGAAACATACCCGGTTTTTTTTTTGCAGAAATTTCCAACCTCGCAAAAGGATGTTGATGAAATCAATCAAAGAATCCAAATTTCTCTGCTTTTTTATTTTTCCTTCTCGTTTTTTCCTTCTTTGGAGGTGTTGTTTCGTTAGCGGGACGCTCAAACCAGAAAACGCAAAAGAAAAATGAAAAATCCCACTGAGATTGGCGCTGCTTTGGCTTGGTCTGGGCTTCTATCAACCGAAACAACAGCCGCTTCCTAAAGATCTGTTTGGTTGGGCTTTGTCCAAGGCTTTTGAGTTTCCACTCCTAATTTTGCTTTCTTACTTCTTTTTTTTTTCCTTTTTTGGCCATGGTCAATATTTCTCGCACATACGTGACAATATAAACTAAAAATAATTTCCCTTTTTTTCAATTTTCCATTAATT